TCCCGTTCGTATTAATAATACTCTCTTCTGTGTTTCCGTGTTTTTCGTCGAAAAACCCAGCCATAGTGTCATTCGAAGTCTCTGCCGGGATTTTTTGGACTAGTTTCCTCCACGGTGTGCCGATATCTCTGTCATGCAACAAAGCTGAGAACTTCCGTCGATCCTTCTCAGGCCTCCTGACTATCTTCCTCCGCTGGTGTGTGTGCATGCAAACGGCCTTCGTTTTTAAGCCATACAGGCGTACTTGATGCTGTCCTGGAACGTTTATTTGTTCTCTGAGACCCCTTGTGCTTGTCTTTTTTCACCCAAGAGACTGACTGTTGGTTGTTCCTAGTTCCCTGGACAAGCCATTTTCCTTTTCATCGTTTGGTACCGCCAAGGAAACCGCGCCTTCACATGTTTTTTTCGTTTTCTTCGTTGCTGACTTCGTCGGCTTCTTCTTATATAAGTGGTAAGTAAAATTCCTTAACTGTTCTACATCGATTTTCAAGCTTTCTGACTCATCTCCTATCTTCGAAAATTTCTGTAGGAGTCCGAAACATGTTGTACAGCTTTCGTCGTTGTCGTACGTGACTTTCGTCAAAGTCATTAGACTTTTTGCCCGTTTTACGGGCAGTGATCTGATAGCGGGATATCCAACACTGCAGTCACTGATGTTATGTGTAATACACTGGCCTGGTGGTGATGAAGTTGATCGTGCCGATTAACTGCCCTGGTTCGACTCCGACCTGGGGCGGGGCATTTGCATATTGTTCCAAGGGCATTTGGTCGAATACCATTATTGAGAAAGTAAATTTGAAGAGTTTTTAGGGTATATGAGGGATTTTCGACCAGGTCGAAGATATGAGGTAGACGATGGAGTCTTTTCTGGATTTTGGGAATCTCTGTGCTGTTGCAGATAGACGGCCGATGGAAGATAGTTTTTCTCACGCATCTCCAGAATTGTTAGACGACCGAAATTTCGCTTCCCTTCTCCTACTTCCTCCGTATATTTGATATTTCACCATTAACTTTGCCTTATTTATAAGCAGTAAGTGGTGTAACCTGAATCCTGAGAATTGACTCGATGTCGCTTTGGTGCGGATCCCAGATGGGCCTGATGGCATCTTTTACCAATGAAGATGATCAGTGTTCCTTCCCTCCCTACCACTGACAACGCTTCCCTCGCTCTCGCCGTCCGTCCGTGTCTCGTTTCCTTCATTTTCAGCACATTTCCTAGCCCTACCCGCTATGGCCGACCGCGCTGCAACCCCCACTGGCGTCTAACTGATATTTCGTGACCACATCCCACTCCAAATGGATTACTTGCACAGAACCTCGCTACTCTCGTTTGTTCGTTATGTCCCACTTTTTATACTCTATACTTTCGTTATCGTAACATAGATTTCACACACTGAAAAGCCCTCTTCTTATTACATCCGTAAATGCTTATCTGGTGTGTTGTTTAACAACTCTGTTCAGTGTTGCGTAGTCGGAAAGCTACCCCAGTCTTTCTATTTGACCGTGAGTGTGTGTACCTTCCTCGATGTCTTCGACCGCTACGCTTTAACATGCGAACGTTCGCATATTCGCCGCTCCCCATGAAGGGCTACCTGCAGATTATAGGCCGCTCCCAAGAGCATATTTTTGTCTGCCGGGAGTTAGGCACGAGCGGCTTAGAGATAGCTAAAAGGGCTCGTATGCGACCTTGCACCATGTTTAATCGCGGCGCTCATTCACGTAACTGCTTGACGTATAGGTCACCCGTGCCATCGGTAATAACCCCATGGCTTTCTGCGTCCTCAGGCGCTCCTGCATCACTCATCAGCACGACACTTATGGGTGACGACGCGTTTCTGTCCTCCTGCATAGGCGCGTTCAGTTCTGTTCCTCCATATAGCGTCCTTATAGGATGACTTTCCGACCTGCGTCTCACTTTAACCGCCTTCATGATTTTCGGGAAAGACTCGTCTCCATAACTCTCTATACGACGTATTTCTGTTCACTTGGATTTCTGCCTAATCATGACTAACAAAGAATCAGTAACAAAAAACAGATATGAGTCAAGGTGGGAGAGAAGCGCAAAGACTGTCACGTCACGCGTTCAACTCCGTTCATGCAAAATAATGAAGCGGACGCGCGTGCGCGCTACAGCAATCCGACTAAAGAATGGCTGCCAATGAAATGTTAAGTCGCAAAAGCGAGGTAGCCAATTACGCGACAAACATACATATCTTGACATATCGTTCTTCACGTACGTGTACTCGGTACCTATTGATACTAAGGTTTACCTAAACGCGAGACCGTTCATTCAAAAGATTGCTCAGCCAAAAACTGTAGTCTTCGAGTTTGACCTAGATAATCTGTGTGATAAAGAATCTTTGGCTCACACTCTAATCTCCTACTGGGCGCTCGCTACAGCTCATTTCAAGGTGTACCAACAAGACGTTATAAAACGTGACGGCGGTCGACTTCTTCGGACCAGGCCCTAACTTGTACATTCGCCCTAAGAACGGAGCATTTATTATTGATCTTTTAACTCATCTTCCCGCAAAATAGGAAAACATTGGTTGGCTGTGTATGTAATCCCACTTGTTAGTCCGGCAACGAAAGCCATCTATGTGACCTCTGGAAAAATTGCAGA